TCCAATAGGGATAGCTAAAGGTCAGGACCTCCATGCGTATCCTATAGAGATACCTCTGTGTTCTTAAGATCTATCGTAGGGCATGGGTGAGTTCTGATTTTGACTCACACATCCGTACTCACACACCACACTTCACACACGATATTCATCCCCACACCACATATCTGTACCACATCCAACACCAGTTACTGGATGACATAACAGTAGCGTTCTCCCAACAGTTTTGCTGCTAATGCTTAGATGCCGCTGAAACCTTGTGACTATTAACAGCAGGTATCTTTGAAATCATTAGCGATACATGACACAGCTTTTCCGAATAGCCCTTGAAGAGTAACCAGGACTACAACAAGATAGTCTTTGAAAAGTAAATAATGCCGAACCTCGATAATCATTGAAGACCTATGAGTACCACTGATGGATAACCCTGGAATATTCATGGGAGCTTCACAGGAAAGCTCTGGAGGACTTATGGGTACCTCCATAGGATAGGACTTCTCTAGGATAGCCCTGGAGCAGCAATGGATAATAACATAGGATAGCTCTTGAGAAACTATTGATGCCTTATTAGATTAGGGCTTGACGCATTCCTACAGGATAGCTCTTGAGAATCTATGGGTACTCTTATAGGCTAGTCCTTGAGGAGCTATCGACACCTCTGTAGAAAATAGACTTTTGATGCAAAAGAGCTGCTCCGTCAGATAAGCTCTCTTGACAAGAACTGATCAGAAATTTCAACTTTTACCAAAAGAACTGTTCCAAAAGCTCCTAGGAAAGCAACGAAAGCTAAATTGTCGCACCTCTAGTAATGAGCTGATGCTGAATTACGGTCTGCTATCGTATATTAACAACCGCTGTTACGGTCTGTGAGTGTGTTTGCAAACGTTTACCTTTTATGCTTCAACGCTCCTTTTAGACCGTGATTCACAAAATAACAGAAGCAGATATGTGAAAAGAACCTGTCTTTGACGTGTCCTGCAGACCAAACTGTTGAAATATGACGAAATTTGAACTCATAAGATATTTTTGTTCAGATGAGTATTGCCAAAGTCTTCACCGGCACGGATGGATGGGTATGAATTTTTTTGCTGAACAACCGAGGGTTCGAGTAGGTGTATTAGTGTGTTGTGGAATCAGTGTCTGTGAATCCCCATCTAAGTGTCATTAGATAGGTGCAGATGTGTGGGGGCTTTTAGGCACTTGGTTGAATGTGGTGTAATATTGGTGATAGTCGTTCACTCGGTTGGTGGATCGGTGTCGATTTGGTACTGATCCAATCGTATTCCCAACGTTGTATCAGCCACCTCCAAATCGATAGCAATCCAAAAGTAGGTGTAGGTATGGGGTATTGTTGAGTGAATAGAGGTGAGCACTCACCCACACTCACCCCTATTTGATGGAGTTTCATAGGTGAATATTCATCATGCTATTTGCCCGATCATCGAGATCTCGATAGACCCAGATAGCTTTGGCAAGGAGCTACAGTAGTGATAACTACTTAGAAAACACTTGTTATTGGTTTTTAACTGTTTACAGATACGTTCAGAATATCATGAGGCGAAATAATGTGTAGGTAATTGTATGGTCGAGCCACGAAGTGATATTGTGGTGCTTGCGCACATTAGAATATTCGTTCACTATAGTCATTGGTGTTTCGTAGAAAGAAGTATCCTTTTCATAAATATTGAATTATTCTATTCCATTGGAGACATTGGAATCTGCGATCAACTATTCGATTTACCTATCAAGTAGATTTTTCATGAGAGTACCAAGTGTGAATGAGAGTTGATGAGACATAGCTAGTTGTTACAGTTGAGATCGGAAACGTATCTGTCAGAATTATACACAGTGCATATTTGGAACAAAAGAAATGGCTTAAACGCTTAATTATGCATAACTGAAGAAAGATGACAATCGAAATTACAAAACTCGATCACGTATTCGGCTTCCACAGTTTCAGTCACAGCGTTACAGCCACCACCCCTCCCCCTCCCCACATCCATACGAAACATTCTTAAGTTTCTTAAAAAACATAGTTTTCGTAGAGTGAGGTAGACATACTTAGTTTTTATGCTATTCATATCAGACTTAGTGAAGTTACATAAAAGAAATGAATAATGATCAAAGTAAACACACAAATTATTGCCAGATTTTTTAAAAATGCCAGCCACCGTTTTTTGAATAACTCTTCACCATTGATAGTTATCAAGTTCAGGTTATAGCCATTCGATAGAGCGGCGCGGGGGAGGGCGTCTATCTATATGAGACTCATTAGGGCCAAAGAAGTTTTTTATGGTAAATATTTAATTGATAAGAGTTTTCGTTACCAATTTTCATTAGTTTTCATACAGACTTAGGCTTAAGTTACACCAAAATGTAGCTCGGAGGGTCCTGAATTTGCATTAAAATCTCAGAATTTTAGCGAACTATTGTATTTGAGACAATGGCAGAAAGAGCTGAAAATTTTATCACAGATACAGTACGATCCGAACTACATTTTGGTGTAATTCAAGCCTAAATTTCTATGAAGACTAATGAAAATTGATAATGAAAACTCTTATCAATTAAATATTTACCGTGAAAAACATCTTTGGTCCTAATAAGTCTCATATAGATAGACGCTCCTCGTGCCGCTTTATCGAATGGCTAAAATCTAAACTCGATAGCTATAAATAGTGAGGAGCTATTTCAAAAATGGTGGCTGGTATTTTTAAAAAAATCTGTCAATAGTATGCATGCTTTTTGCAAAGTGCGTTTGATTAACCAATATTGATTTTATGTAAGTTGACTTCTTGTTAATGACTTTTGGAATATAAATGGTGGATAAAAAACAATTTCAGTATCAGTATTATTAGCAGTATCTTCTTTTCTTCAGACTTAAACGAGGCTTATATTTTGTCACAAGATTCCTCATCTCATTCTCGAAAAAAATACTTTACTGAATCAATCAGGTGTCACATATCCTTTTCATGCGTTATAGCTAAATGATGACTTTAAGCGCATTTTACAAATATTTTCTTTTACAAGCTCTTTACATTGTGCTTCAATTCTTTAATTTTGATATATCCTTGCCAAAAAAAATGGCCACTCAGAATTTCAGTTAATCTTTTGCAAGAAAAATGCTTTTTCTCAACGGCTTTGGTGTCTGAAAACTGGAGCAAAAGGACATTCCGCCAAGACTACATAATGACAGGAAAATTATAACATGATATAAAATAATGTAAAGAAGAAAAAATTTCATATGATGCGCTCAACATCATCATTTAGTTAAAATGCCTGAAAATAATTGAGTATTTCCTATTGAATTGGTAAAATATACTTTTGTTTTTCTAGAAAATGGGATGAAAAATCTTGTGAGCAAAAAACGAGCATGATTGAATCTGAAGAACAGTTGAAAATACTGACATTCTACTATAGTTACTATTGATTTACCTGTTATATGAAGCTTTACAGAATGTCTTTTATTAAGCTTGGCGTTGTTGCCATGTTTTCCTATATTCTCTGATAAAATAAGAGAACTCTTATAACCATAGTGAAAAATAGTATATCATTTCAGAACTAAACTTCTGACGACAAGTATGGCATTACTACAAGTTGTCATCAGTGCTATCTTCACACTATCTTATGCAAACGCACGACAACATCATTACAATCTCTACAATACAGAGCAAATAAATGGGGATTTCTCACACGATTGCCTTTATCACATGATAAATGATCAGCGAGAAGTGGATGACAAAATGTACAGTCGTCAGCAGCTTATCGAATATTGCATTAGATCATCTTCAATAGAGAACAGTGACGTCATTAAAGGACGAATATCCTCGACATTAACCTTCGATCAGCTGAAAAAAACAAATGTGACAGTTGAAAATCTTATAAAATGGTCAAGCCCTATTGATCTTATCGAACGTTATCAGAACTTTTTACAAATGAATAATACCTCATCAATGGAGATATTTTATAATTGTACTGTATCATGGTTTGGACCGTTGTGTCAATACAAATTTCCTATTAATCATTCCTTTTCAAGCATTGTTGACATAACATTCGATTTGAAATCGATACACAATTCTCATGGAAAATTCACTTGTTATATGCACATGAAATGTGATCGCGGTTCCTCTCTCATATGTCTTGATTGGCGAGAGATATGTGATGGGAAAATCGATTGTCTTGATGAAGGTGAAGACGAAAAATACTGTCTTGAACTTCACATGAATCAATGTTCCGATAATGAATATCAATGTCGAAATGGAATGTGTATCAATGAAGTATTTTTGGCAGAAACCGATAGAGACGGCGCAGCCGATTATGAATGTTTGGATCGATCAGATGAGCCTATTCATTTCAAAATGCGATTTCTTTGCAGATCTCGGCCAAGCTTTTACTGTGAAGAAGCTACTTGTCCATTTCCTCATTATTTTCACTGTGGTGATGGTCGCTGTATACCATGGCCTTTACTAACAAGTACAAGCGACTGTCATAGTAATCGAGATCAATTGTTTAACTACCGATTTGAGTGGAACAGTGAAGAGTCTACAAGATTTCCTCGTTGTTTTAAGATTGCAATTTGTGCATCAAATATTTTCTCAGCAGACGAATTCGATACTTATTGTCAGGTATTATGTGAAAATGTTCAAGAATGTAAAATGAATCTTGAATATTGTCCATCTTATTTCTTTGCACCTGGTTTTCCTGTGTGGGATGGACATATAAGATTAGGCTACTTTTCCAATCAAACAATCATTAATCAACTTTTTCTAATACCACATTTCGTTTGTTTCGATAAACATAAATGTTCATTTCTCATTCCAACATTCGAAGTCGATAATTACACGTGTCTACATAGTCATAAACTGAATTTTTCATCTAACCAAGATTTTTATACGATATTTCTTGCTTGCACTCGTCTCTATCAAAGTATCAATGACACTCCTTGTCTGCAGTCGTCTACGTTACGTTGTGTTGGAACGAACAAATGTATTCCAAAGCATCATATCATGGACACAACTCCAGATTGTTATGACGCTTTCGACGAATCGCTTTCATCTAATTCATGTTCATTGAATGATAGATATCGTTTTCATTGCACATCCGAGAAAAAATGTCTATTACTTACCATGGTAAATAATAATGTACAACAATGTATTGATGGAGAAGATGAACCCGATATGTATGAACGGGTAACAAATATTCAGCAACTTCCTTTCTCTGCTTTATGTGACAGTAGAAGAGAAGTATTTTCTTCAACAAACGAAACCGACGAGACTCATTGTGAGTTATGGCCATGTGTAAATCAATATACAGAATGTAATGGAATATGGCAGTGTCCGAAAGGCATTGACGAAATCAATTGTCTATCGAACTTTCACTGCCCTACTGATCATCATCCTTGTGTATTTCCAAAGAATCAGACAATCGGTTGTTTGCATCTAAATCGAACTGAAGATGGGATTGTGGATTGTCTTGGAGCAACAGATGAGAGGACATTTTGCCGTCTATCATACCCAACTGATCCACTTAACCGTTATCGATGCTGGAACGACACTTTATGTGTTTTTCATCTTGTCCGTTGCCGTGACTGCAAAATATTAGATGGCATCGATGAACTTTGTCAACCAGATGCTAATAAAATTCCGAATATATTCCAATACTTTCAGGATATGCAGGAAATGCATCTTACCAAAAAATTACCATTTTCTCCTCACTCTTCACGTCCATTTCCCGTGAAACAATCGCTACCATCGATTAACAAACTCATACAATATCAGATCAAAGAAATAGAAGAATCGAAGAACGACTATGAGTTGGACGTGCGGCAAGCGTGGTTATGTCATCGAGGTATATTAATTTACGTCGGCCAAAATGAAAGTGAGCAATGTTTATGTCCACCAAGTTATTATGGTGATCGCTGCCAGTATCAAAATCAACGCGTTAGTCTTACTCTTCGGCTGCGGAACGAAAATTTAGACAAATTTAATGTCATTGGTATTATTGTCACTTTAGTTGATGATACTGATTTCATTCATTCATATGAACAATTCACCTATATACCTGTTCGTGATTGCAATGATAAATTCAATATTTATCTGCTCTATCGAGATCGACCGAAAAATATTACGAAGAATTACACAATCCATATTGATGCTTATGATAAAGTCAATCTTCTTTATCTTACAAGTTGGATATTGCCAGTAAAATTTCCTTTTATGCCCGTCAATCGTGAGAGTGCTCTGCTGGTAATTCCAGCACCACATAACCGTCACCGAACATGTAACTCAAAGTATTGTGAACAAAAGAAAAATAATAATATCAAATCTTACCAATGTAAATCGAATCACTCTGGAATGATTTCTATTAATCAAGATCAATGCAATTGCTCACCAGATTCTATTTGTGTTGGTCTTGTATATAATAGATCGATTTGTCTTTGTCCTTTAACGAAGACATCACCACGATGTTTTCTTAACTCAATCTGTCAAAAGAATGTGTGTTTAAATCGAGGTCTTTGCGTACCAGAAAATGATCGCATTTCTTTGACAAATTTTACATGTATATGTCAGGATGGATTTACTGGACAAAGATGTGAAGAAAATGATGTCAAAATTGATATTTCATTTTCTGATGTGTCAATTCCCCAATCATTTCTCGTTCATTTTATCACAGCGCATGACTATAACATCAGAAGTCGAAATCCAATGCCAACTCGAGCGACCATGTTCAAAAAGATTGATTTCGATCAAGATACAGTCACTGTCTACATGTCATTGCCTTTGCATCTTGTCTTCGCTCAAATTGAAACGAAATTTTATCTTATTGTTCTTCAATCTAAGTATACACGTTCAGCTAACATTTCTACAGAAATTACTCGATCACAACATTGTCCACATATTCAAGAACTCGTTGATCAACAAATTCTTGATTATCCAATTCTTCGTCGAGTTAAATACTATCATCTTCCATGCATGAAAGATTCTGATCTTTTTTGTTTTCATGATAATGAAACATTCATGTGTCTTTGTACAGAAAAAAGGCATGCCAATTGTTTTCATTTTGATTTCAATATGTCTTACGATTGTATGGGTTGGAACGATTGTCAAAATGAAGGACAATGTTTTCAAGATCATCCAACATGTCCAACAAAGACGATGTGTGTCTGTCGAGAATGTTTTTATGGTACGAAATGTCAGTTCACTACAAACCAATTCGGTCTCTCACTCGATTCTATTTTGGGCTATCGAATTCGTCCTCGTCTACCCATTACTCGACAATCTATATATGTCAAAAGTAGCATTGCTGTGGTCACAATCATGCTTGTTGTTGGTATAACTTTTGGAACTCTTTCTATTTTGACTTTTCAATCTAAGTCATGCCAAAAAGTGGGTACTGGTTTTTACATTCTTGCATCATCAATTACATCGATTCTGATCATTATTACTTTGAATCTAAAATTGTGGTTTCTTATTCTTTTTCAAATGTCTATTATTACGTCACCATCTTTTCTTTTGTTCAGTTGCATTTCATTTGAATTTATTCTTCGATCTTTATTAGCCATCACTGATTGGTTCCATGCCTGCATCGCTGTTGAACGACTATTCACGGTCATTCTCAATGTTAAATTTAACATGACAAAAAGTAAAAAAATGGGAAAATTAATGATTTCTTTTATTTTTCTATTCACAATTATGTCTCTTCTGCATGATCCTATACATCGTCGTCTAATTGAGGATAAAGAAGAAAAACGAATTTGGTGTCTGCTTCGTTTTACATCAACCGTCGAAAACTATAATTCATTTATTAATATTTTTCATTTCATTATGCCTTTTTCAATTAAAGTTGGCTCAATTATTGGCATGATCGTTTCTTTATCAAAAATGCGTGCATCTGCAAAGAAACAAAGCTCATACATGGAACATCTAAAAAAGCAATTTCACATCCATAAACATCTTATGATTAGCTCTAGTCTCTTGATTATCTTAGCTTTACCTCGTTTAATCATTTCTTTCTTGTTTGGATGCATGAAATCAACAAGAGAACCTTTGCTGTACTTGATTGGTTACTTTGTTTCGTTTATTCCTTCGCTACTCACATCTTTTATTTTTGTCGCAACATCGAAAACATATAAAAAAGAGTTCAAAATAGTGATGAGACGAACATGGAAAGGAATTCAACGTTCATTACAGCTACAATAAACCATGACACAAAATCTGACATCTAACAGACTTTTTAAGATGGTGAATATTGAATCATTAGCTATTTATTTATAAAAATACTTCTTATAGATGTTGTCTGTTTCTCACTTAAGAAATAAAAAAGTGGTTAGTCACACAAAAACACTGTCATAGGGTATAAAGATCTGTGGATCGATATTGACAAATGGCTTGATATTGAGAAGAGGGTGTGGATGTGGCTTTTCGCTTGTTCTACTCTCACAAACAGAGCCAGAACAACTCCCACCTATACCCATCACTGGTAATCAATTAACCTTGAAAAAAATTTCAGCTTCAACAGAGCTGTGGTGATAAGCTTTTAAAACAAAACTCGTTATTCGATAATCGACATCTAATTATCGTTTTCCTATATTTTTTTCACGAACTTCTAATTCGTCATCGGAGAAATAATGAAGATTATATTCATAAAATTATAGAACAATTGTTCATTATCAACAATCACAACTGTATTTGAACCACAATTTTGAAATTATCTGAATTTAAACCATTTACATGTCAATCATTAACTTCTATGCTTAAAATTAATTTAAATATAGCACTTCTTTCGATATCATTCACATCTGAAAGTTTATTGATGTTCTGCAACTGTACAAGCAATTAATGAAAGTTCTCAAACAAATAAACATCCTCTTGAAGTAACAACAATAGCACCAAAATGCTTTTTTTTAAATCCTGAAGAAACAACATTTACGTACATCAGCATGTTCAACATGTCAAGAACAAATATGTGCGTATATGAGGGTGTGGATGTAGGTGGGTGTGGGTCTGGGCGGGTGTGGATGGGGGGTGTGGGTGGCTGTGGGCGTGGGGTGTGGGTATGGGGTGTGGGGTGTGAGTGTGGGTTTCAAGTGTTTCTTAAGGCACACCCAAACCCACACCCACACCCACACCCACACCCACACCCACACCCACCCACATCACACCTCCACACCCAAACCCACACCCACACCCACACCGACACCCCACACCCACACCCCACCCACGCCCACACCCACACCCACCCACACTCACACCCAGATTTTCAGCCGCGATGGACATCTCTGCTACACCCACCCCATCAAGAATAAAGATCATAATCAAATATTCGATGAGTAATATTAAATAATTCATTGACATTCGGACAGTTAATAATTTGTTGTCTAAATGAATTTTTTTCTTATTTCGATATATCTTGACTATAGGAAAAAGAATAATACTTGTTGGACTTCGAACGATAAATAGTCTTGATTATTTTTGTTCATTGACTTTCACTTTTTACGTGGATTTTTATTCAAATCTTTGTAATTCCAGACGAGTACATTGTTTTCGTATCGACATTTGCTTATTATCATCATCTATTGATACATTTTGATCTAAATTTGTAACTGATGATGTTACTAATTGCGAATGTTTAACTGTACAATCAGGTGATATATTGATCGATGTAGAAATCGAATTTGTTGAAATAACGAACAGCATTTAGAACAAACTTCTAATTAATATCGAAATAATACCATTCTGAAAGCCAACAAAACCAAACTCACATCCATTCATGTGAAATAGAAAACTATTTCTGGGAACAATCAACAATAACGATCAATTTAAACTAATAACAAAACATTTGATTGTTATGTGAAATAATTCATACTATGCTATTTTCAATTCATAAAATTTACAAGTGATTTTTATTTCTTTTACTATTATGATATTACACTTTGTAATAAATCAATAAAAAAAAAAGAATCATCAATCATAGAGTTTCTCTGTTATTGTCACTTCATTAATTTTAAGTACTCAAAGAAAAAATTTGCTTTTATTCAATGAAAGAGATTGATTAGCAAATTGTTGAATTGTTCAACTTCTATCATGAATCATTCATAACTAAATACTTTTTGATCTGCATGTATATTATCATAAATATATATATATATTGAACATAGATTAAAAATATATTTTAAGTAGTAAATTAAGAAAAGCATTAGATGAAAACAAAAATTTCATGAAGATAAAATCGAGAGAAAAACGTCCTTTATTAAATATATTTTTTTTTATTTCGTGGTGATTTGCAAATATACTAAGTTGCTCTTTTTCTATTTCCTTCGAAAAAACTTAGTGAGCGATACACTTTTATATTCTATTAAGTTATTAAGGCACTTTCTCGATCGATGAAATCATACGAAAAAATCAATGTGTCGATTTTGACAAAAAGGAAAAGTGCAAGTTTAGAATCTCAAGTAGGTGTTCGATGTTGGAAAAACGTTGAATGTGCCGCAAAGATGCTGAGGTATTCGAGCTTCCACATCGATACATGCCCTCCGGTTAAACCACTTAATCGAATAAACTTTAACATTTGACATGTAGTCCACTGATTCCTGGATACAAAAACTCTGTGCTTGATTGATTAAAAAGTAACTGTCGCACGAACATAACACCCATCCATATCTTTAATTAAATAGAAATATTTTCTAAAAAATTTCATTAATATTACTACTGCTATATTTTTCTGCGAATTCTCATTTTTATTAAGAGTTGTAAGAATTATCAAAGATTTTTTTTTTGCTCATAATCAATATTTACTATGAGCTATCGTTTGATAGTAATTAAAAGTGTCTTATCATTCAATAATTTTCATTTTATGTTGTATCACATAAACAGAACAGAGAATTATATATTGATTAAAGAAGTTCGGTTGTACAAGTGAAGTAGTCATCTTGTTACATATCTAGCTAATCAACAATAAAACGAAAATGAATAAAGCTGCTAACCACGCCTGTTGGACAAATGAGTTTACAAATGCACTGTCTTTATAGAATATGAATGTCTATAATTGATATTCAGCATTAAACATATAAAAATCATCTATTAATTTTAAGTTAGAATTAATCTGAAAGATGCATTTCTCAACTTGTCTTCTATCAACCGATGCTTATTTTCACGAGAGATATATCTTAATTGTGTCTGACTTTTTCATTTCATGTTTTGAGCTCAAATAAGAAGGTTCGAAATATAGGTGCATTTTTTCCTCTTTGTCCACATCCAAAATAAGATAAAGAACTGATATAACGAATTTGATTCATTCTAGCAATTCTAAAATGTAGAGATTTGAATGAAAAATGAACTGAAGAAATCTGAGAAGAACAATTACCATTGTAATAATCAAGTATGTTGTAAAATTGGTTTTACACAATATAGTTATAGATTGAACAAAGAGTTTTGTTAAATTATATAAACTCATATTAAAATGTACAATGAAGAGAAACCATTTTTTTTTTGTAATCGATTTTCGGTGTTTTAAATGATATAAAATTTTGTTACAAAATAGATATGACGATTCTTTCATTTCTTATTCTTACAAATAGTTGAGTAATAACATTAAAAAATAAATGACGAATAAAAAGAAGAAAAAAAAAAGCTTGAATTACTATTGACAACAGAGCATGCACATTTTCATTACATTATATTTACAATTTCAATCAGAAAAAAAAACACAAAGTAATAGCATCAATGATAGAAGAATCAGGTAACAACATATAATTAATGAAAAAATTATCAATGGCATGGACTATGATTTTGTTATTTCAGCTACATTTATTATGGATTCAGGACCATTTATTGACATAATTCCAACAATATTAAAATATTTAGACTTGAAAAGTCTTATTCACTTAGCTAAAACATGTTATTTTTGGAAAGAACGTATCTATACAGATGTAAAATTATGGCCAAAAGTGATTGAATTACCGTATATTGGTTGTATGAATAATTATGTTGGTGTACATAATATTCTTGAACATGTAATTGAGGCAAAATTATGGTCAATGATTCGACCACCAGATGATCCAAAAGCTTTGGAGAAAGTTTTAGAGAAAATGGCATCATCAGAACAGAGTATACAACGATTTAAATTAGCCAAAAAGGTATGGTAACAATTAAACAAAATTTTCTTTGAGCAATAATTTTCAATAATTTTACATGATTTATTTCTTCATCTTATAGGTTCTATTCAAAAATTTTATTCATACTAATGAATCATTACGTCTTACAGCTTTATTATTTCCTTTGATTGAAGAAATTACTTTTGAAGGTAATCTTTTATCAATTATTGGCGTTCAATACATAGCTGAATCATGTAGAAAACTTAAACATATTGAATTTTATCAATGTGGTAATCTTGACATAGGAAATGCTTGTCGTTTATTTAACAATGAAGAACATAAAAAATATTTAGAACGAATTTTTATTTATAATGGTTTTTGGTCAAAATATACAATAAATTTTCCAACTAAAGATGATTTACCATTTATGGAATTATGTCAACGCTGTGGTTTATATTATAATCAATTAAAAAATGAAAAAGAAATGTTATGTCTTTATCATCCAGGAGTAAGGATCTTAATTAATTACTTATAATAATATTATTTGTCATTTCAAAACAATTGATTCTTTCATCGATAATTCGTGTTAATATATATGCCTATTTTCCAATTTTTGTTTCGAAATTTAATACTACTCTTCAGATAAAAACTCTAATAGAATTATTTCTCCATAATTTTTTATTTGTTTTGATAGACATATAGAGGTTATGGTCATAGTTATTCATCATACAATTGTTGTGGTAGCAATACACCTAGATATCCATCAACATTAGGTTGTCAATATACTTATCATGAGAAATGTTCTAATACACTATCATCAAATCAGAGACATTATTATGAATTGCATGATGGGTAATTTATGAGATCACTTTCTTTTTTTGTTTTTTCCTAATAGTTTATCTTCGATGTTTATATTCTTAGTCATCCTGAATATATGTTTCAAAAGTATAAAGATGTGAAATTTCTATTGCAATTTACTGAACGACGTCGATTAGATAAATGTTATGAAAAATGGAAGAAACAGGAATAACAACATTACGTCTTACAAAAACACATGCAAAAAAGATAAGATTTTCTTAACTTTCAACCTCGTCTTATTTTCAATCAATAAATAAAAGTAATGAGGTTTATATCAAAAATATATAGTACAATGTTTAAATTTTGAAAAAAAAAATTTGTATTGTATCAATAGAATATATCATGATGAAATTTACATATTTTCATATTTCATTCTTAAGCATTAGAAATTTGAGATGGTTCACATATTAAACTTTGACATAATATTAAATATCAATTAATGAAATTTCGATTTATTTCAATAGTACAAAGTAACAAATCAACTTTTCTATTATCAAATAATACTTTATAGAAATTATTCTAGTAAATTCGACATTCTTTTAAAACACAAATTTTCAGCTATGCACTTCATTATTTTCATCAATCCATAAATACAATGAAAAGAAATCTCGATCATTAATTTGACATATAAAATTATTTTTATTTTTACCTTTCAAATGATAAGTATGTATCAGTAACCATTGACGAATAATTTGAATTTGGGGATTTATATCAATCTGACAATTATCAATAAAAAAAAAGAAAGCAGTGATCATATTCTTGAAATAATCGATTCGAAATGAAATTTAACTATTCGAATTAATTGAAGAACTTAATCATTCGACACATGGAAAACGTCTTGATCAATTGAATGTATCTTTTCCTGTAAATTGTCCTTATTGAGGTAAGCTTAATATTCGAATTTGTAGTAATGAAATATCAGGAAAATTTTTATATTGTTGTTTAGGATGAGTACACTTTAGACGAAAATAATTGACAGAAGGTATCGTTTCTTTTATCAATGTTACAATCTTGTAGAATGACCAATCAGAGGTATTCACAGTTAGGGATTATACTTTTTAATAGATCAACGATATTCTCATACATATGAAAATTATTAAAAATAACTTCTTTAACATAATTATAACGATATGGTAATTGACATCGATTGAATACAAATCTTAATTTAGTAACACGATTATAAGAGACATAAAATGACTTGAGTTTTGATAAATGTTCAATAATAAAATTTTCCTATCGATTAGCATTGAGATATCGACGTTCTACATATTGTCATTCAGTTCAATTAATGTTATCTCATGCAATCGAGTAAATTGTTGGATTGAAAAATGAGATAAAAATAATTGTAACTGATACGGTGTTTTCTTCTCATCTGATAGGATTAACGAAATTACTTGTTCTGGTCAAATAAGACGACATACAAGATCAAAATAAGATTTATGAATCGATTGAAAATTTATCAAATAATTGCCGAAGTTCAATAGAACACGATTGAGATAGTCGTTTTATGTGATAAAATGAATATAGAATTTCATGAGCCCATAATTGATTAAATATTAAATAGAGAGCTTCGATTGGAAATTGACCCAGAAAGAAAGATATGTTTATCTAGAAAATATATAATAAAAGATTGTTAAAAGTCAATCATTCAGGCACAAACTATTCAATTGATATAAATTAGGAACCATCAACTGAATGTGTTTATATCTAATGAAAATATCCATCGAAGAACTATCAATAGTATATCGTATCGAGCTGATTCATTCGCGAGACTTACACTCAATCTATATTCCAATCATATAAGATTTGACTAAAAATGTATTTCATTTTCCAATCGCATCTAATTACATTTATACTCAGAAGGAATGTGTTTTTCTTGGTATCAGTTCCTTTTCGAAGAATTTCAATCAAGATTCGATTGTTCATTAAGTTGCACAATAAAACAGATCCATTTGATGGCATCCACTGATTCAATTGGTGTGAAAGATTTGATCTACTATCACTAAAAATCTTTCATCGATATAGTCACCAATTCGTCTTCGTTAATCTCTGAATTACGCGAACAATTAATATTGAGATTGAACATCTAGGGTGTGGGTGTGACACTTCGTTAGATGAACATCCACATCCACACCCACACTCACACACCCGCACCCACACCCGCACCCACACCTACACTCACCCACACCCACACCCACACTCACCCACACCCTCTGTGGACATAGTACAGACGATGCCCGTCATTATGATGCAAGTCGCACTTCAAAAGCTAATCTTCTAAGATAGTTATACGCAAAAGAAAAACGTCCGAAAAATATTGTCCAGTACTGTATATGACCGATGATACTCGTTATAATGGTATTGTATACGTTCAACGAGCGGAAGTAATCGTGAGGAGTTTTCCTACTGTGGGACTATCAACAAGTTCTTGTCTTCTTACTGGAATTTATACTGCATACGGCATAGCAGTTGATCGGTCTGGCAATAGCTACATATCATCGTTTTATTGTTTCATGGTGGTAAAATGGGCGCTGAATGCCACTAGTGGTATACTCGTTGCTGGACACCCAGGAGTTAGTGGTTCGACTAGTAATCTGTTTGGTAATACTCGATTCATTTATTTAGACGAGGATCGAGGCGCACTTTATGTCACTGACTACCAGAACAATCGTATTCAGAAGTTCATCATTGGTGGTAACGGAATAGAGATTACAGTAGCATGTAACACTATTGCAGGAACAGGTTTGAACCAATTGAATGATCCTGGTGGGATTTGGATTACGCAAGACGGTCAAACTCTATGTTGCTGACTATGGTAACAATCGCGTTCAACGATTTCGCATTAAATGACTTTTCATAGAATTATTCATATCGAGAACATAAAACAAATCTGTTTTACTTGCTTTTATGTTGTTAGTATGCTTTGTGCTTATAATTCTATGCTTTGACAAACTGTGATCAAAATTATCTTTTATGTTAATCTTTAACTAAATATGCTGTTGAGGGTGAGGATCAGCAAAACTACCACGATACAGATATATTTTAATTTTATTCATAGAGAAGATTATCAAGTAACATTGGTATCAGTACAACAATTAAATAAAAAATGTAGATAAATTGATTACAAACCCTTTGTTCAATAAATTCCTCAATACCGTGACCTAAATTTGTAACATTATTAAGTTCAAATCTGATTACTTGAAATTTAGAGCTATTTGAACAAATCATATCTTGTTCTTAATAAAGCATGTAAATTTTTAAATCAGGATATCTTTCTGTAAATACACTTCTCCAAAGAATATAGCATAAAGACTTGGTTCAATTTTAACAGAAAAAAACAAAAAGAAAATATATGTAATCTGAAATAAAAAAACCATACATGATGAATAATTTCTTTTTTTCAATTTTACCTAGCTACAAATGAAATAATGGTATGCTAGAAAATCCATAGCATTAATATGACTGTCTTCAACTTGAATAATAATGTGTCATGTTCACGTCGAGCTCTATATGATCATGGTGATTCATACTCAAGACTTCTAATAAGTGGATCATAAGTTAATTAATTTTTATTTAAATTACTTCATGAAAACACATTTCGTAACGAGCCCAGCAACCACTATCGCCACTGTTTTCAGTTCAAAATTGACCAAAAACAAAAGTAATCAGACATAATATACATTGTTTTTAAATTACTCAATTGATTTTGATGCTTCATTTAGTGGTAGCTATAGTATAATTGTTTCATCGTTCGGTGTTATTTAAATTATCAACACAATGTTTATTGATTGGATCGAAAAATAGTGATAGTATAATTTTATTTAAACAAAGGTAAAATATAAGTTTCAAAACATGAGAATGGGTTTGGTTTGTTCATTGTAATGATTTTCTTGTTAGATGTTATGTTTTTCTTGATTATTTGATAAAGAAAAGAAATTAGAAGATAAAAGTTACTCATTCGTATATCATTATATTAATAAATAGCACTTCAATTTACTGAACTTACGACGAATTGTCCTAGTACCAAACAACAAATAATTTTTTCCAACTATTCAGTAAAGACAATGCATTACTGTAAGACAAAGAAAAGAAAATTTCATTGAAATACTTCTTCGTATGAATAATCTACTACTACATATACCGGGTGAGTCACAATGATTGCAACACCCACTATCTTACGAATATCTCAACATAGATAAATCGTATAATCTTGATCTTTTTGTTAAAAGATGAGCCGTGAAAATCTCTACAAAAATTGTAGGAACAATTAATTCCTATTGACTTTTACGGATGGTATTTTCTATACTCAAAATGAAAAGGTCGCATGGTGGTGCTACGTTCTACGGTATTCAGCATGATAAAAATCTTTGGAAGACTTATTTTATTTTGCAAATATCTCGGGTTGGAGAAATGATAACGGCTTGGTTCTTTTTTCAGAAGATGTGCCGTCGAAAGCTCTACAAAAGTTATATGAACAACTTTCTATTGAAAAACAATAAATGTCTTCTAAATATTTAATACAGTGGGATATAACACCATCATGTCACCCGTTCATTTAGAGTATAGAAGACACCATCAGAACAAGTCAACAAGAATTTGTTCTTACAATTTTTGTAGAGCTTTTCACGGCGCATCTTTTGACAAAAAGATCAAAGTTATACAATTTACCTATGTTGGGATATTCGCAAAATACTGGATGTTGCAATCATTATGACTCACCCGGTATTTAAATTAAATCAGACAAACATTGGTGCATTACTTGTAGAGTGTGGATTTCGTTGAAGAATGCAGAAATCCTACAGTCACACTGATGAGGAAATTTACAAGCGAAACATAGTTTTGTTATTATTCAATATCCTGTGTAAAATGTGTTTTATTTCGATCAAGTTAAATTCGGTTCAATTCTGATCACTCAGTTATTTATATAATCTCGTTTTTTATTTTCAAAACTAATTTTTCACCTTATATCTGCAAGATCAGTTCAAAACGCATAAGAATTGGACAAATCTTTGAAAACATACTTTTAGCAGTAATTTATAATCTCTAACAGATATTATTTATTGTTATCCAAATGTAAAACAAATTATTATTGAAAGTCTTTTATCATTTATTCTATCAGTCTAATGACAAGAAAAACAAGATTGCAAGAGAGGAAAATAATTATAGACATGTTTTGTATGTACTAATGGTCTTTCAAAAAGTAATTCTTTCACTTGAGCACAATTGCGTAGACTTGCATTCCTTGTAAAGTTGTGTGTTACCATTTGTAATTCATGATAATTGACTGCTAATTTGGTTAGACGTGGTAGATGTGTTCTTTTCTGATCGAGAAACTGGTCGATATAATGAGTGTGACTCGATCGTAGATCAAGTGAAATTAGATTTGGATATTCAACAATTGAATAGAATGGACTATTGTCAATATTCCAATAGTCGTACATCCTTGATGGTAGTTCAAAATTAATAACACGTAATATTTTAAGGAAAGGAAAAAAGCGTGCGATTCGAAGAAAAAATTCATGATCGAATGGCATTATATCATGTACCATCAAGTCAGTAACATGACTAAAATCTAATGAAAGAATAATCAGTTATTATTTACTGTATATAAGATTTGTATTTAAATTTCTTACTTGTAAAATATTGTGAAATAATATGATTGTTAACATTATAAAGTTTAAGTTCAGTTAGATTAGGATAATCAGCAACACGAAAAATACGTTCCATAGATTTTGATTCAAGAGTAAGTGATTTAATATCGT